TATGATGAGCAGTTTCAGAGCCTGGACAAGAGAGGCGTCACCCGCACCCTTGCGAGAGATGACGTCCCACTTTTCCGGCGTCGTTACCAACATCTGGGTGTCCATTATTTCCTGTTTACTCAATTGCATGTCCCCGGTGCACTCGCGCACCTTGATGCCGAGAGGACTAAGGCGTTTGGAGAAAGTTGCTGTCATCTCCGCGGCCAGCGCCTTCATGGGTGCCATGTAAACTATCTGGAAGGCAAAAGGACTGTGTGTACAGAGAGGCCGCAGTCTGAAAAGCAGCAGCAAAGGACAGACGACAAGAGTTGTTTGTAAAAACGGTGCTACTTACACCTTGTGAGTAATATTTTAAAATAAAAATGCGTATTGCGCACCGGTATGTAATTAATAGGGTTTTCGAAAAATATTGCCTATTACCCTCATCAAAAAAGTCGGACAAACTCAAGGGACTGATGACTACTACAAGCTGCAAAAAAGAATAACCTTGAAGGCTTTGAGGTCGAGAACAAAGTCCTCATTAAGATGTTCGCGTATCAGCCGGATCACGGTCAACATCGCCGTATTGGTTTTGCCAGCACCGGTGGGCGCGCAGATCAGAAGATTTTCAGAGGAATTGTAAGCAGCATCGAAGACAATTGACTGAATAGGGTTCAATCGTTCAATGCCCTCAAACGCGATTTGTCCAATCTGGAGACAAAAACGTGACAAGTAGGACCAAGAGATTTAGGAGTAAAATATTAAATAGCTGAGAAACTTTCGAACTGCTGCTGTTCGTCCTATCTTAATTCTGTTACTCAGTATGAGTACCAGTCACTGCATTTCCACAGTGAACTGTTCACCTGAGCCGGGAAATAGTATGCTTGCATTAACATATGTTACCTCTTAGACTAGGGTTTAAACGGTTGAGTTAACGTTTAACAGGCTACTATCCATACGTCTGCTGCACAAGCTAATAGTTGCACAACACACTTTGACAAAATGTTCTACTAATGAATGGCTCTTTAAGAGAAGAAAGAAGAGCGTTAATTTGTGCGGCACAGTTTTCTCTTGGTACCATTTGAAAGTGATCTCCCCACTGGAAATCCAGATTACTTGACCTTAGTAACCGAAACGTTGCTGCGAGGTCAGCTCTGTCTTCTGACCTTATAGCACTATTTCAGTACTGAGTTGACATAAGGCGTCAGATAATGAAGCCGAAAAACCCACTGCCACGGCAAGAAACA